CATATGAGACATGAAGTGTTTATCATGTTTGATATTTAGTGCATCTGATATCATTCCAAAGGGTGTACATCAAATATTATCCTTATGATATAAAGAACGAAAACAGATTCAGTTACTACAACTAATTACTGAGTTCAGGTAATATGCTATGATTCATCATTGTATGACTTCAGTCTTCTGTAAACTTTCATTGATGAATGAGTGAATATTTTTTCTTATATTGTCACACTGTTGTTTAGACTTTCTTTTCATTCGACAACAATGTGATTATTAAAAGTGTTAAAGTTATGATATTTCATGTTTCCTTACCACATTATGTGTCTTCCTTTCAGCAGAGGGTCCTTCTACAGACAATAGTCCTGTAAGTATGTTTGAAACTTCATACCTGAAATACTTCATCGTCAAGTATGTTATGATATGTAGAGCTTGTAACGTCCATTGTTAACTACGCTGTATTAGCTTCCGATGACCCTTTTAAATGGCTGAGGTTATATAATAAAAGGGACAAGGTACATGCCAAACATAAGTCTTCATTCAGAGTTTCTTTGGTTCAAATCTCGTTTCCAAAATACTTGTTTCATGACTACTGCCTATAACACGAGAAATCACTTTTATACACTTTGGAGGAAACACCTTGCAATGTGTCAAAGATTTTAGAAATTGATAAACAGTTTAATCCCTTTTTATGTCTTTTCAGAGCACAGGTACTGTCAGTGAACCTACACCATCCCAACGACGTTCAATACAAGGTACTGAGTGTCCCTCTGATTCCAAATAAAGTGGCCACTGCTTTGGTTACTGCTGGCTTACATGTACAGCCATTGTTTGAATGGCAGTTGCCAGAGCAGTGAATTCTTACATGATAGTTCCACGATGAAATATGCTGTCACGATTATCAGACATATGAGATATGAAGTGTTTATCATGTTTGATATGTAGTGCATTCGATATCATTCCAAAGGGGTGTACATCAAATATTATCCTTATGATATAAAGAACGAAAACAGAATCAGTGAATACAACTAATTACTGAGTTCAGGTAATATGCTATGACCCATCATTGTATGACTTCAGTCTTCTGTAAATTTTCATTGATGAATGAGTGAATACTTTATTCTTATATTGTCACACTGTTGTTTAGACTTTCTTTTCATTCGACAACAATGTGATTATTAAAAGTGTTAAAGTTATGATATTTCATGTTTCCTTACCACATTATGTGTCTTGCTTTTTGCAGCGGTTCCTTCTACAGACAATGATGCTGTAAAGTGTGTTTGAAACTACATACCTGGCACATTTCATCGTCAATGTTCACTCTTGTGTTATGATATGTAGAGCTTGTAACGTCCATTGTTAACAACGCTGTATTCGCTTCCGATGCCCTTGTAAATGGCTGAGGTTATATCATAAAAAGAGAGAAGGTACATGCCAAATATAAAGACTTCATTCAGAGTTTCCTTGGTTCAAATCTCCTTTCCAAAATACCTGTTTCATGATTACTGCCTAAAACACGAGAAATCACTTTTATACACTTTGGAGGAAACACCTTGTGATGTGTCAAAGATTTTAGAAATTGATAAACAGTTTAATTCCTTTTTATGTCTTTCAAGGGCACAAGTACTGTCAGTGAACCTACACCATCCCAACCACCTCCAATACAAGGTACTGAGTCTCCCTCTGATTCCAAATGAAGTGTCCCTACTTTGGTTACTGCTGGCTTACATGTACAGCCATTGTTTGAATGGCAGTTGCCAGAGCAGTGAATTCTTACATAGTTCCACGATGAAATATGCTGTCGTGATTATGAGATATATGAGACATGAAGTGTTTATCATGTTTGATATTTAGTGCATTCGATATCATTCCAAAGGGGTGTACATCAAATATTATCCTTATGATATAAAGAACGAAAACAGATTCAGTTACTACAACTAATTACTGAGTTCAGGTAATATGCTATGATTCATCATTGTATGACTTCAGTCTTCTGTAAACTTTCATTGATGAATGAGTGAATATTTTTTCTTATATTGTCACACTGTTGTTTAGACTTTCTTTTCATTCGACAACAATGTGATTATTAAAAGTGTTAAAGTTATGATATGTCATGTTTCCTTACCACATTATGTGACTTCCTTTCAGCAGAGGGTCCTTCTACAGACAATAGTCCTGTAAGTATGTTTGAAACTTCATACCTAAAATACTTCATCGTCAAGTATGTTATGATATGTAGAGCTTGTAACGTCCATTGTAAACTACGCTGTATTAGCTTCCGATGACCCTTTTAAATGGCTGAGGTTATATAATAAAAGAGACAAGGTACATGCCAAACATAAGTCTTCATTCAGAGTTTCCTTGGTTCAAATCTCGTTTCCAAAATACTTGTTTCATGACTACTGCCTATAACACGAGAAATCACTTTTATACACTTTGGAGGAAACACCTTGCGATGTGTCAAAGATTTTAGAAATTGATAAACAGTTAAATCCCTTTTTATGTCTTTCAAGGGCACAGGTACTGTCAGTGAACCTACACCATCCCAACGACGTTCAATACAAGGTACTGAGTGTCCCTCTGATTCCAAATAAAGTGTCCCTGCTTTGGTTACTGCTGGCTTACATGTACAGCCATTGTTTGAATGGCAGTTGCCAGAGCAGTGAATTCTTACATGTAGTTCCACGATGAAATATGCTGTCACGATTATCAGACATATGAGATATGAAGTGTTTATCATGTTTGATATGTAGTGCATTCGATATCATTCCAAAGGGGTGTACATCAAATATTATCCTTATGATATAAAGAACGAAAACAGAATCAGTGAATACAACTAATTACTGAGTTCAGGTAATATGCTATGACCCATCATTGTATGACTTCAGTCTTCTGTAAATTTTCATTGATGAATGAGTGAATACTTTATTCTTATATTGTCACACTGTTGTTTAGACTTTCTTTTCATTTGACAACAATGTGATTATTAAAAGTGTTAAAGTTATGATATTTCATGTTTCCTTACCACATTATGTGTCTTGCTTTTTGCAGCGGTTCCTTCTACAGACAATGATGCTGTAAGTGTGTTTGAAACTACATACCTGGCACATTTCATCGTCAATGTTCACTCTTGTGTTATGATATGTAGAGCTTGTAACGTCCATTGTTAACAACGCTGTATTCGCTTCCGATGCCCCTTGTAAATGGCTGAGGTTATATCATAAAGAGAAGGTACATGCCAAATATAAGACTTCATTCAGAGTTTCCTTGGTTCAAATCTCCTTTCCAAAATACCTGTTTCATGATTACTGCCTAAAACACGAGAAATCACTTTTATACACTTTGGAGGAAACACCTTGTGATGTGTCAAAGATTTTAGAAATTGATAAACAGTTTAATTCCTTTTTATGTCTTTCAAGGGCACAAAGTACTGTCAGTGAACCTACACCATCCCAACCACCTCAATACAAGGTACTGAGTCTCCCTCTGATTCCAAATGAAGTGTCCCTGCTTTGGTTGCTGCTGGCTTACATGTACAGCCATTGTTTGAATGGCAGTTGCCAGAGCAGTGAATTCTTACATAGTTTCCACGATGAAATATGCTGTTGTGATTATCAGATATATGAGACATGAAGTGTTTATCATGTTTGATATTTAGTGCATTCGATATCATTCCAAAGGGGTGTACATCAAATATTATCAATATGATATAAAGAACGAAAACAGATTCAGTTACTACAACTAATTACTGAGTTCAGGTAATATGCTATGATTCATCATTGTATGACTTCAGTCTTCTGTAAACTTTCATTGATGAATGAGTGAATATTTTTTCTTATATTGTCACACTGTTGTTTAGACTTTCTTTTCATTCGACAACAATGTGATTATTAAAAGTGTTAAAGTTATGATATGTCATGTTTCCTTACCACATTATGTGACTTCCTTTTCAGCAGAGGGTCCTTCTACAGACAATAGTCCTGTAAGTATGTTTGAAACTTCATACCTAAAATACTTCATCGTCAAGTATGTTATGATATGTAGAGCTTGTAACGTCCATTGTTAACTACGCTGTATTAGCTTCCGATGACCCTTTTAAATGGCTGAGGTTATATAATAAAAGAGAGAAGGTACATGCCAAACATAAGTCTTCATTCAGAGTTTCCTTGGTTCAAATCTCGTTTCCAAAATACTTGTTTCATGACTACTGCCTATAACACGAGAAATCACTTTTATACACTTTGGAGGAAACACCTTGCGATGTGTCAAAGATTTTAGAAATTGATCAACAGTTAAATCCCTTTTTATGTCTTTTCAGAGCACAGGTACTGTCAGTGAACCTACACCATCCCAACGACGTTCAATACAAGGTACTGAGTGTCCCTCTGATTCCAAATAAAGTGGCCATGCTTTGGTTACTGCTGGCTTACATGTACAGCCATTGTTTGAATGGCAGTTGCCAGAGCAGTGAATTCTTACATGATAGTTCCACGATGAAAATATGCTGTCACGATTATCAGACATATGAGATATGAAGTGTTTATCATGTTTGATATGTAGTGCATTCGATATCGTTCCAAAGAGTACATACATCAAATATTATCCTTATGATATAAAGAACGAAAACAAGAATCAGTGAATACAACTAATTACTGAGTTCAGGTAATATGCTATGACCCATCATTGTATGACTTCAGTCTTCTGTAAATTTTCATTGATGAATGAGTGAATACTTTATTCTTATATTGTCACACTGTTGTTTAGACTTTCTTTTCATTTGACAACAATGTGATTATTAAAAGTGTTAAAGTTATGATATTTCATGTTTCCTTACCACATTATGTGTCTTGCTTTTTGCAGCGGTTCCTTCTACAGACAATGATGCTGTAAGTGTGTTTGAAACTACATACCTGGCACATTTCATCGTCAATGTTCACTCTTGTGTTATGATATGTAGAGCTTGTAACGTCCATTGTTAACAACGCTGTATTCGCTTCCGATGCCCCTTGTAAATGGCTGAGGTTATATCATAAAAGAGAGAAGGTACATGCCAAATATAAGACTTCATTCAGAGTTTCCTTGGTTCAAATCTCCTTTCCAAAATACCTGTTTCATGATTACTGCCTAAAACACGAGAAATCACTTTTATACACTTTGGAGGAAACACCTTGTGATGTGTCAAAGATTTTAGAAATTGATAAACAGTTTAATTCCTTTTTATGTCTTTCAAGGGCACAAGTACTGTCAGTGAACCTACACCATCCCAACCACCTCCAATACAAGGTACTGAGTCTCCCTCTGATTCCAAATGAAGTGTCCCTGCTTTGGTTACTGCTGGCTTACATGTACAGCCATTGTTTGAATGGCAGTTGCCAGAGCAGTGAATTCTTACATAGTTCCACGATGAAATATGCTGTTGTGATTATCAGATATATGAGACATGAAGTGTTTATCATGTTTGATATTTAGTGCATTCGATATCATTCCAAAGGGGTGTACATCAAATATTATCAATATGATATAAAGAACGAAAACAGATTCAGTTACTACAACTAATTACTGAGTTCAGGTAATATGCTATGATTCATCATTGTATGACTTCAGTCTTCTGTAAACTTTCATTGATGAATGAGTGAATATTTTTTCTTATATTGTCACACTGTTGTTTAGACTTTCTTTTCTTTCGACAACAATGTGATTATTAAAAGTGTTAAAGTTATGATATGTCATGTTTCCTTACCACATTATGTGACTTCCTTTCAGCAGAGGGTCCTTCTACAGACAATAGTCCTGTAAGTATGTTTGAAACTTCATACCTAAAATACTTCATCGTCGAGTATGTTATGATATGTAGAGCTTGTAACGTCCATTGTTAACTACGCTGTATTAGCTTCCGATGACCCTTTTAAATGGCTGAGGTTATATATATAAAGAGAAGGTACATGCCAAACATAAGTCTTCATTCAGAGTTTCCTTGGTTCAAATCTCGTTTCCAAAATACTTGTTTCATGACTACTGCCTATAACACGAGAAATCACTTTTATACACTTTGGAGGAAACACCTTGCGATGTGTCAAAGATTTTAGAAATTGATCAACAGTTAAATCCCTTTTTATGTCTTTTCAGAGCACAGGTACTGTCAGTGAACCTACACCATCCCAACGACGTTCAATACAAGGTACTGAGTGTCCCTCTGATTCCAAATAAAGTGTCCCTGCTTTGGTTACTGCTGGCTTACATGTACAGCCATTGTTTGAATGGCAGTTGCCAGAGCAGTGAATTCTTACATGATAGTTCCACGATGAAATATGCTGTCACGATTATCAGACATATGAGATATGAAGTGTTTATCATGTTTGATATGTAGTGCATTCGATATCGTTCCAAAGGGGTGTACATCAAATATTATCCTTATGATATAAAGAACGAAAACAGAATCAGTGAATACAACTAATTACTGAGTTCAGGTAATATGCTATGACCCATCATTGTATGACTTCAGTCTTCTGTAAACTTTAATTAATGCATGAGTGAATACTTTATTCTTATATTGTCACACTGTTGTTTAGACTTTCTTTTCATTTGACAACAATGTGATTATTAAAAGTGTTAAAGTTATGATATTTCATGTTTCCTTACCACATTATGTGTCTTGCTTTTTGCAGCGGTTCCTTCGAAAGACAATGATCCTGTAAGTGTCTTTGAAACTACATACCTGGCACATTTCATCGTCAATGTTCACTCTTGTGTTATGATATGTAGAGCTTGTAACGTCCATTGTTAACAACGCTGTATTAGCTTCCGATGCTCATTTTAAATGGCTGAGGTTATATAATAAAAAAGACAAGGTACATGCCAAACATAAGTCTTCATTCAGAGTTTCCTTGGTTCAAATCTCGTTTCCAAAATACTTGTTTCATGACAACTGCCTATAACACGAGAAATCACTTTTATACACTTTGGAGGAAACACCTTGCGATGTGTCAAAGCTTTTAGAAATTGATAAACAGTGTAATCCCTTTTTATGTCTTTCCAGGGCACAAGTACTGTCAGTGAACCTACACCATCCCAACTAACTCCAATACAAGGTACTGAGTCTCCCTCTGATTCCAAATGAAGTGTCCCTGCTTTGGTTACTGCTGGCTTACATGTACAGCCATTGTTTGAATGGCAGTTGCCAGAGCAGTGAATTCTTACATAGTTCCACGATGAAATATGCTGTCACGATTATCAGACATATGAGATATAAAGCGTTTATCATGTTTGATATGTAGTGCATTCGATATCATTCCAAAGGGGTGTACATAAAATATTATCCTTATGATATAAAGAACGAAAACAGAATCAGTGAATACAACTAATTACTGAGTTCAGGTAATATGCTATGACCCATCATTGTATGACTTCAGTCTTCTGTAAACTTTCATTGATGAATGAGCGAATATTTTTCTGATATTGTCACACTGATGTTTAGACTTTCTTTTCATTCGACAACAATGTGATTATTAAAAGTGTTAAAGTTATGATATTTCATGTTTCCTTACCACATTATGTGTCTTGCTTTTAGCAGAGGTTCATTCTACAGACAATGATCCTGTAAGTGTCTTTGAAACTACATACCTGAAATACTTCATCGTCAAGCATGTTATGATATGTAGAGCTTGTAACGTCCATTCTTATCTATGATGTGTTAGCTTCCAATGCCCCTTTTAAATGGCTGAGGTTATACCATAAAAGAGAGAAGGTACATGCCAAATATAAGACTTCATTCAGAGTTTCCTTGGTTCAAATCTCCTTTCCAAAATACTTGTTTCATGACTACTGCCTATAACACGAGAAATCACTTTTCTACACTTTGGAGGAAACACCTTGCGATGTGTCAAAGATTTTAGAAATTGATAAACAGTTTAATCCCTTTTTATGTCTTTTCAGAGCACAGGTACTGTCAGTGAACCTACACCATCCCAACAACGTCCAATACAAGGTACTGAGTCTCCCTCTGATTCCAAATTAAGTGTCCCTGCTTTGGTTACTGCTTGCTTACATGTACAGCCATTGTTTGAATGACAGTTGCTAGAGCAGCAAAACCTGACACAGTTCCACGATGAAATATGCTGTCACGATTATCAGAAAAATTAGTGAATTAGTGAGTTTGGTTTTACGCCGCCTTTAGCAATTTTCCAGGAATATCACGGCGGGGACACCAGAAATTGGCTTCACAATTTGTGCCCATGTGGGGAATCGAACCCCTGTCTTTGGCGTGACGAGTGAACACTTTAAGCACTAGGCTATCCCACCGCCTCAAATGAAACATGAAGTGTTTATCATGTTTGATATGTAGTGCATTCGATATCATTCCAAAAGGGTGTATATAAAATATTATTCTTATGATATAAAGAGCGAAAACAGACTCGGTTAATACAACTGATTACTGGAGTCTAGGTAATATGCTATAACCCATCTTTGTATGAGTTCTGTATGCTGTTAAAAGTGTCAGTGTTATATCTCACGTTTCATTATCACAATATGTGTCTTGCTTTTCGCAGAGGTCCAAGCAAAACGCGTTGGCCCTGTAAGTATGTTTGAAACTTCATACCTGGCACATTTCATCATCAAGGCTCACTCCTGTGTGATAATGTGTTAGAGCTTGTAACGTCCATTCTTAACTATGCTGTATTAGCTTCCAATGCCCCTTTTAAATGGCTGAGGTTATATCATAAAAGAGAGAAGGTACATACCACATATTAGACTTCATTCAGAGTTCCCTTGGTTCAAATGTCGTTTCCAAAATACTTGTTTCATGACTACTGCCTATAACACGAGAAATCACTTTTACACATTTCGGAGGAAACTCAGATTTTGGAAATTGAAAAACGGCATTCATCCTGACCTAACTGTCACTTTTTGTGTTGGCCCATGCAACCTGAGGTTTATTGAGAAAACAATGTGTAAAGTTTCTTAACACGAATGGAAACTTCGGGTAAGATATCTTGGCAAGAAATAGGGAACTTGGGAACTAATTGTACTCCCATGTTTCTGATCTGTTAGATAGATATAAATTCCGAATTTCTGTGCGGATATCAAGGAAAGCAGCTAATATTTGCCAAGACATTAACTTATATAAGAAAGTTGGATCATCTGTCATTCTATAACCATCAAACTGCCAACTCCGTTTCAGTGGTGTACCCACCTAAACTGGAAAGTGGACACCAGTGAGACGCCTCATCTGTTTGATAATGAGATCTGTGCATACATTTTCATAGATTCGTTATTCTGTGTGACAATTGCCCAAAATATTCATTCGTTTTTGTTGAAAATTATATACAGCTACAGCCTTTTGTACAATCGAGGATGAACATTTCATATCACTCTTATTCCCTAAGATATTTCATCATTGTGTCTTTCACGGTTACAACATTCAAATAGTTTTATGGTGAATATTTGAAATCAATTATGCATCAGCCACAAATGGATTATAAATGCAGTTACCCATTTCTACTTTTCCCGTATGTTCCCTTGTTTTTAAGCTGATCAACTGACTTGTGTCATTACTTACTTGATAGTGATTCATAACATATGCTTATGCCACATTAAGATTCGTGCAATTAACTCTTATTTCTTTTGTCTGTTGAATATCAGATTTTGAAAACGATTGTGTATCAGCAGACAGCTTTTCCTTTTTATCGCGAAACCATCATGAAACTTGCAATTTCAAATAGTTATATTTCTTATTTATTGGCAGGACATTTCACTCAAAAAGGACAGGACACAAACAGGAGAATGATGTCACAGGTCAGTCCTTGCAATTTTTACTTTGGTTACACTTTCTATCGTTGTTTGTGTATGTTAATGACAAAAATTCGTAATCAAGTCTTTTTTTCAAAAATAATGATGTAAGAGCTAGAGCTCATTTTTCGATAGTCATATATCAATGTAAGAAAGTGACCTGAACTCAACATAGGTGGATCCTTACAAAAGTTACTTTCCCTATTTGTTTTCCTTTCAAACCTCAAAGAGTATGTGTGAAGCCCATTTCTGGTGTCCCCCGCTGTGATGTTGCTGGAATATTGCTAAAAGCGGCGTAAAACCAAACTCAGTCAGTCAGTCGGTCAATGAGTTTGTGCAAATGATACGTCCTTTCACAATTACTGCTTACTGAAATAGAGTGAGATACCTAATGCCAGCTCCATAGCAAGAGAAACATAAGCTGTTCTTAAGAGAATATCAGTAGTAGCTGCTGGCTGAGGACCCGGTCCTTGTTTTGCGTTTTGCGCTGTAGCTACACTGGTTTACCGGTTTCATCTTCACGTCCTCGTACCTCGGGCCACATTTACAAACCTATTAAAACATGCGTATATTTTTAAACACATAAAGTTTACTGAGAAAGCAATCTGTGAAATTGTGGTGTTCCTCATTGACAACATATTTGTAACATTTGGGGGTAAACATTTAGAGAAGACGTAGGCACCAATTGTATTTCCCTCTTTGTTTCTTTATGCTTGTGAACTGCTGGTTCGCAAAATTGAAACATGGTACTCTAGCCAAGAAACGTAACTTAAGCTACAAGTACATCGACGATCCAGTATGTTCAATAACCATCACATAACCAGTTTCTGTCCACTGATTGGCCTTTATAAAGGAGACAAGTGAGACCTCCTCGTGTGTTCCTTATTTCAATATATGCATAAAGATGCAATGTTACCAAAAAAATCTCTACACACGTTTGTATGACAAAAGGAATGATTTCAACTTCCCGATAGCAACTTATCGATGGTAGACATGTTCTCTACAACTATAAAGAAATCGAATTTTAATCTTCAACAGCTAGTTTAACCAATTGATTGCCTTTATTTGTACCAAAAGTACGATCATGAGAACTCTATGCATGGGTGAAGAGGTCGATCATGTGTGGTCGTGGTAAAAGCTGCTAAAATAACAAAGGAACTATAAATATGTGATATTCGTGTACATTGAATGAGTGTAATCACACCTATAGCTAAATTATACTAAATTGTGCACAAAACACCAATACCACACATTGAGCCTTTATTTACTGGTTGAATTAAAACATTTTTGACGTGATATCAAAATGCCATGACAGTTCTAAGTTGTTTCATAAACAACGATAAATTCCTATAAAATATATAAATACCAATGTTAAGTCCACTTGTATAGAGCCTATCAAAATGAACAGTTCTAAGTTGTTTCAGACATGTACGTTTTTATTACTGCGTAGCATTACCCTACCTATATAGAGCCTCACAAATTACGGAGATGCATGTTTCTTCTAAATGCATAAAATACACTGAAGATACCATGGAATAATTATCGTAAGAATACGAGGAATGAATCCTATAACACTGTAAATCAACTTACGTCTTGGTGCGAGGGCTTATTGCAAAGGAAAACACTTCAAAACTTGAGAAGGACACTTGTCGCTGATGAGCGCATGGAAGCTACAACATGGCTGACATCACACTCACTATACAGCAATAGGGAAGTCAAGTCAACCCATCTAAATCCACACAGGGGCACCTAGCAAAGCACACAAAGTCAGCCATCTCACCTTCAGCACCGGCGGCTTCCACTGCGAACCCTCAGCGTTGGAGAACTGCTCCTACACCTAGCCTCTCTAGAATTGAGATCTCATATTTTGCACAGACCAGAAGTTCGCGAAACATTCGCGAAGAGATAGCGCACTTCACAAGGTTCTCAAAGCGATGTATCCACAGATAGAGGTTCGCAGACAGAACACTCTCAAGATAGACGTTCCCATAGGGAGGAATCTTCAGATAGAGGTTCGCGAAACGACGATGAAGGTTCGAGAAGGGAACAGGTTCGCAGATGAATGAACTGTGAGATCTAGCTCTAATAATCAGGAGACTTCGAACTTGCAAACGGACCTCGTCTTCCCAGACTCATAAGTTACAACGTGGATTGCTAACGCACATCTTTGAGAAAGCTACAGACATCTACAAGGTTCGAGAACTCTCAAATCTACAAGCAGATAACAACAACGTAGACATCTACAGGGTTCGCAAACCCTAGGGTTAACAAATCCTTACATCAACAGGCAGGATGTTGACGTCGTCTCTATTACAATTTGGCTGAATAAAACGAAGCAATGATGGAAACGGATGCTGAGGTCTTATACCGGGTAGCAGATGGCCAGCGGATATTGTCGTTCACTCACTTACCCAAACCCAACAGAGACGAACTGCATATACACTGATGACTTCGACTCCAATATGATATCACTTATGAAGCGATATATCAAGTACTGCTGAATCTTAAGACGACCTTTGGAAAGGGTTTAAGGTTAACAACGCCTTCAAGTTTCTTGAACGGACGTACAGATGATCGTATTAACACTCGTCACTCAGCGTGGGGATTAGGAATTATATCCTATCAACTAGATCTATACAGACATACGGCCTGACAGCCTCTTTCGTCATGCTCGGAATAAGTGATTCATATCACTTAACAAGATTTACACTAAAAGCAACACTTAGTCAGGAGGCTTATATGAGCGGCGTAGGATTACACGCGCTTTCACTCACAGATTTTATGGAGGCCAACTGGCTACAACACCGGTGACGCCATGCTTGAAGCTGATTGTTCCACGTCAGACAACGCCTCCCACTGACAGAGCAGGCTCCAGCATGGTTTCGCATTGTAAACAAACCCGTGGTACGGGGAATACTTCATCGGCAGCCTTGGAAACAGTATACAACTACGACCTGTTATCATCATGGAAATCAAATAGATGTCCAGCCTTGACAGCAGGATAAACGATGTTTATTTTGGAAGTTGTCGTTGATAGAAGTCGCCGATAGTTGCTATAAATAGACAACGCTTCGATGTCACGCAGATCGCCTGCGTATATAAGGGGGAAAATGATGTATCATCACTGCAATCAGATGTTAGCACTTCCAATGGAACGTCCTATCGTTTGGAATATCGTAGGCTCTATGATTATTCATACGAATAACCAAGCCTATCGGCACCTATTTACAACATCGAGATCTAAGCAGTGCCGGTTAGCCGGAGGACGGCATATAGGTTCTTCAAAGTGCCAATCAACTCAGAGAGCAGATGAACCTCTCAATTAAGTTGCTCAGGCAACTAGGATGGCTAGTGAACCTGATGGAAATTGGAGTTAGAATCAATATAGATCTTCAATTGCTGGGAATAAGAATTATCACAA